TGCTCCAAGCTATGAGTAGCCAGAGCCGTAGATTTACAGGGATCCCCTGGGCCGGTAAGCACTGTGCTCTTCCAGACCCAGACGTTATGGAATCTTGCTTTGGCTTCCAGAAGTGATCAGAGCAGTAGGGAAGACAAGTATGTATGCTGCATGAAAATAGGGGGGGGTAAGCCTGTTATTTTGCACTTATTGCTGTCTGATTTCCACTTTCAGCTGTTTTTTACTGCCGTGTTATAAATATAAATGTTTAGGCAAAAAGAATACATAAGTGAACCAAAGAGTGTTTGGTAGATTGGCCTTGTCTGCTTTCTTCTTTAATGGTCTTGTCTGCTTTAAGCCACATGCATATACCTGCCTTTCAATTAAAATGTTATGACCGCATCAGACAGGCAGCGCCCAGCAAGGAGTTATATAGCAGACTGACTACAATAAAGGTTTATCGATGTATAACAGCAAGCAGCAGTGATGAAGCTGGTCGAGTGGGTGCAGAGGACACGATGTCCTCTACCATTTAAAACTCAATATGTGACTCTGCCCATAAGCCTCAGCCCCCTCCACTGTTTACGGAAGGTGTTTAATGTATATATTGCATATGTAAGGCCCCGTTCACATTGAGCGGTTCGCAAATCGCGCGTTTGTCGCGCGATTTGCATTTTGCGCAATATCGCGCGATTTGTTGCACGATATCACGCAAATGCTTGCATTGAGGAAGTTTGAATCTCGGCTAAATCCGCTCCAAAAAGGGTCCTGCTGTAGCGACACACGACCCGCGACAGCAGGACCCTTTGCCCCATTGAGAAGCATTGGAGAGCGATATCGCGCGGTAAATTGCCGCAATATCGCGGGAATTACCGCGCGATAAATCGCTCAATGTGAATGGGGCCTAAGCAGTAAACATAAAGCAGTGAGCGAGTTTACCAAATCCCGAGCGGCTTACCTGAACTTCACAGATGTCCATCAGGAGAAGGCTGGTATCCTCGCCATCCACGCTCATCGTGCACTTGTAGAACTCTAAATGAAAGAGTTATGCGTTATTGAGGAAGCAGCAAGAGATGTGTTACTGCAGCCCATATAACATAAACTTAAAATGTTCTATATTGCTGTGTTGCTAACTTTGTTTTTAAAGGTTAAGTCTCACAGCACAGAGTCCAGGGGTCAGGAGTATGTATTGTTCAGCATGCAGGGGTCAGGAGTATGTATTGTACAGCATGCAGGGGTCAGGAATATGTATTGTACAGTGCGCAGGGGTCAGGAGTATGTATTGTACAGAATGCAGGGGCCTGACGTATGTATTGTACAGTACACAGAGGTCAGGAGTATGTATTGTACAAAAATCAGGGGTCAGGAGTATGTAACACACAAAGTACAGGGGTCAGTAGTATGCAATGAACAACATGCAAGAGTCAGGAGTATGTGAAATACAGAGTGTAAGGGTCAAGAATATGCAGGGTGCAAAATACAAGGATCAGGAGTATGCAAGTTACAGAGTACAGAGATCAGCAGTATGTAATGTGCAGAGCACATAGATCAGGAGTATGTAGTGTACAGGGGTCAGCAGTATGTAATGTGCAGAGCACATAGATCAGCAGTATGTAATGTACAGAGTACAGGGGTCAGGAGTATGTAACGTACAGAGTACAGGGGTCAGGAGTATGTAATGTGCAGAGTACAGGGGTCAGGAGTATGTAACGTACAGAGTACAGGGGTCAGGAGTATGTAACGTACAGAGTACAGGGGTCAGGAGTATGTAATGTACAGAGTACAGGGGTCAGGAGTATGTAACGTACAGAGTACAGGGGTCAGGAGTATGTAATGTGCAGATCACATAGATGAGCAGTATGTAATGTACAGAATATAGGGGTCAGGAGTATGTAAGTCAGGAGTATGTATCTCCCCAAAGCACAAACCTCCCTCCCCTCTCACCTCCCCAGGCTAAAACCCTACCCCCAGCACAAATCATCTGATTTCCCCTACAAGTAAACCTCTCTTCACCACCGTCAGCGAACATCCCAAGCGAACATTTCCCCTATAGCACGAAGATCCTGCCAGTACAAACATCATTGCCCAGCAAAAATATCTCCCCTTTTCCAAACAAAAACCACCCTCTAAAAAATCCCTACTCCCCAGGAATGTAATTACCCTATAGCAAAGAGATACTCAAGTCTCAAGAATCCTCCTGCCGGTGCCAAGCACTCACCAGGCCTCATACAGAGCGGCGCCCATGCAAAGTGAGAAAAGATTCTCCTTGGCTGTGTCATATGACAAGCCAGAGCCAAGGAGGAATCTTGGAGTTCCCTCGCCTCTGCACTGCCGCTCTGATCCGAGGTCTGACGGGAAGCAGGGTACTATGGGTGTCATGACAAGGGTCACGGGCCCAGGGCATTAAGGGCGAGACCTGGGGCATGTGCCCCCAGTGCTGGCGATGCCTATGGTCTAAACAAAGGTGGTGCTGTCCTTCTGGATGAAATGCAGATGGTCAGGGGGAGTACTGTGATGTCTGTAAGAAGTTATAAATACCTGCAAGTGTTGCACCGACACATGACTTAGCATGCATGTACTTAACATGAAGAAATGTGTCTGATGCTGGGTCCACTATAACCCACAAGGGCACGAATACAACCAAATAGGAAAAAAAAAAAAAATTCCGCCTCTAATACTGGAAAATGAGTGTCTGTCTTCCCCCCCTACCCCCTTACCTTGTTGCTGATCTGATGTCTCTCTGTCCTGTTCTCTTCTGAAAATTCCAACCAAGCTGGTTTTTCCAACTCCGGGGTCTCCTAGAAGAACCACCCTGAAGATGCCATCTCCCGCACCATTGGTAATTTCCGATTCAGGTGATTCACCGCCGCGTGCGTCAGGTGTGGGCTGAGGCGGTGGCAGCATGCATACCTCCATTATAGGGTTTTCGTTCTGTAAGCGGATCTGATGGGCGCAGGGCAAGGGTGTACTGGCTCTCCTCCGGAGGGGGGCACGAGCAGCACACATCTGAACCAGTAGAAAGAAGAGTTCATCAGATAGATATCCCGCTGACTGCTACAGTTGCTAGACAACCGTCCAATAGATATTAAAGGATTGCTCCATTTTCTACTCTGCTCTGGGGGGCCACAGTCCAGCTCCAACAACACTGACCAATAAACTGCATTTTTGGAAGCCTGCCAGTTAACTGGAGCATTTGGATGGGCTTCCCTCTGCAAATGGAGATGTATAGGTACTGGATGGAGGAGAAGGTCAGTGGTTGGAGGCTGCAGGTCACAATGGCTACTAAATCAGAGATGCACAATCTACTGCAGAATTTAAAAGCAATCTAGAGACCTATTTATAAAAGTTCCCAGTCAATGTATTGATTTCAACACTTGCTCCTATTTATAAATCTGCCCCGGGCAATTTATCTACTCAGCCTCGCTATATGTGTTGTTCATTGGTGGAAGTAGACCAACAAAGTCCGTTTGTAATAAGATCTGGAAAATGTACGCAGGAGCTTTGTCCACTTTTGCAACAGAGTGTTTCTGCATAATTTAAATAAGCCTGAGGACACCCCTCAAACTAGTCCTTCTTGTAACCTCAACCAGCACACTTACCTCCCTGTAAGCCCAAAATCCATACTAACCTCCATGGAACCCCATTCTATACACTAACCTCCATTTAAACACAAAAAGCACACTACACTCTTGGTGACCCCAAACCTTATACTAACCTGCCTTACCTTAATTCTAGCACTTACCTCCCTGTAAACCAAGCCAGCATGCTAACCTCACTGTAACCCAAGTCAACACACTAACCTCCCTGTTAGCCCAAAATGCATTCTAATGTCCATGTAACCTCAACCTGCATACTAACCTCCATATGTAACCACAATCTATACACTAACCAGCACACTAAACGTCCTGTAACCCCAAACCGTATACTAACCTCCCTAACTTTAAATATAGCACTTACCTCCCTGTAACCCAAACCAGCACACTAACCTCCTTGTAACCCCAAACTACAGACTAACCTACCTAACTTTAATTCTAGCACTTACTTCCCTGTAACCTCAACCTGCATCCATGTAACCCAAATCTATACACTTACCTCCCCGTAACTCTATCCTGCACACTAACTTCCATGTAATCCTATCCCGCACACTAACCTCCAAATGTAACCCCAAACCCACACACTGACCTCCCCTGTAACCCCAACCTGCACACCAAATCCACCAACCCAGTCACCTCAACCCAACCTCCCTGTAACCCTATCCTACACACTAACCTCCATGCAATCCCAACCTGCACACTAACCCCCCCCCCCCCCCCCACTCCTCCTTGTAACCCCAACCTGTACACTATCCTCCATGCAATCCAAACCACAAACTACCCCCTCCCCCCCAAATGTAACCCCAACACACACAAACTGACCTCCCTGTAACCCCAACCTGCACTCCCACTCCACCTACCCAGTAACCTCAACCCACATACTAACCTCCATGTAACCTCAACCCGCACACTAACCTCCTTGTAACCCCAACCTGTACACTATCCTCCATGCAATCCAAACCACAAACTACCCCCTCCCCCCCAAATGTAACCCCAACACACACAAACTGACCTCCCTGTAACCCCAACCTGCACTCCCACTCCACCTACCCAGTAACCTCAACCCACATACTAACCTCCATGTAACCTCAACCCGCACACTAACCTCCTTGTAACCCCAACCTGTACACTATCCTCCATGCAATCCAAACCACAAACTACCCCCTCCCCCCCAAATGTAACCCCAACACACACAAACTGACCTCCCTGTAACCCCAACCTGCACTCCCACTCCACCTACCCAGTAACCTTAACCCACATACTAACCAGCACACTGACCTCCAAGTAAGCCCAACCCATACACTAAACCCTCCATGATGTAAAATGTACCCCTTGTCTGCCTACTCACCTCACCTACGTTGATATTCCCTGCACCTATAGACCTACCTATGCTGCATTGAAATATACCAGTGCCAGATTCTACCATTCTGCTTTTCAAAAACTAGTAAAGTGTTTACAATGGCGGTAACAAACAGTGCAAAATAAAAATTGGACGTCAGCGTAACTTTTTTTTAGGTGTACTGGCGACCTAGTGCCCCAAATCTGTCCATACTTCATTGACATACCCCAAAGGGTTCACTTACAGCCAGTGAATGAAAGTTAGAACATAGGACTTTGAAAGCCACTATGATAATAGTGCAAATTCTACCATATTGGACAGCACTGAGACCCGTCTACCCCGTGGGAATCCTCTGCCGATGGCGTAATGTGACATCACCAGGACCTGAAAGCTCCAGCTCAAGTTTTCTTTACATGAATTTCAACACATATGCAATAAAATGCATCAAATTACATGAAAGAAGGCCAAAGAATGGAGCTAAAATATTCCAAGAAACAACAAAAATGAAAAAGCTGGCCTCATCGAAAGCCAAGAAGGCTGCCACTATAGCTGCGCTCTACACACGCAGAGCTCCAGAACTTCAGCTTTATTAGTGAGCTGATTGTGCGCTTACCTCTGCCGCACTGCCGACTCAACAAAAATCCCCTCTGCGTTTTGCGAGAAGTCTCCTCTCACCGAAGTGTTGCGTTGTTTATTTTGCTGAATTACGTTTCACGATACCTGCAAAAATGTTCTATTCTGCTCAAATCCAAGACCGGTCCTTGTGTTCAAACACACAGTCCCTTTAAGTCTTGCAGGCACGCAGGATACGTCTATTGTCACGATCCGATGGTTCTTCAGAGTCCTGGTGCGTTCCCAGAAACGGCGGTCATTCCTTTGATCTGTAACAGTTGAGTGTGCAAAGATGGTTCTGCTTTTTGTTTTTTTATAACTCCATGGTCCTTTTTCTCTTGAACTCACTTGAGAGTCCTTGTGCTTTGAAGCTCTTGTTCTCACAGCCCTGTTCTCATGGACTGTACTTATGTCCTGTCTGGCAGTCCATTCACTCCCACATGCAGTCTTGCGGTTTCCACAGACAATTCTTATAATTCCGCAGTCTCTGCGTCAGTCCTTAAGAGTCTCACTTAGTCCTGCGCTTCAGGCGGCTGCTTTGCTGTTTCTGATGGTTCTTTTGAGCTCTTACAAACAGTCCCTCTCACTAACAGTCCCTATAGTATTACAATGGTACTACTAGTGTTTTCTGAGCATCTTCTCATACAAGGTTCTTGTTGTAATACAGTCCTGGACAGTCCCTGTCTTCTCACAGAAAGTCCCACTCTTTAGGCTGTCGGTCTCCTACATCTGGCAGTCCTTTGATTGGTCCTGACGGTCTCTGTCCTCTTTCAGGCAATCCTTCTGTTGGTCCATGAGTTGTCCCTGCATTAGGATGTTCTACCCTGACAAGGCATCTGGCTCCGGAGCTGACAAATGAACCCTGAGCGATCATCCAGCTGTGTTTTATAAGACAGAGTCTCGGTGGTGCGATCCCTCCCCCTGAACATAACAGTGACCACTCTACAGAACTACGCTGTGCAACTGAAACTAGGGGGAGGATGTGCGGCCATTAGGTTTCTTCCTCCCCTGAACTGGGGGGTCTCCCTTAGGGGGGGAATGTAGTATATCCCACCGCAGTCCTGACCGGATAAAGCACAAACGAAAACTGGGGTGGGTTGCCGAAAGTGACAGCGAATGTCTCAGCACATCAAATGCAAAATACCATAAAGTCACGCGCACTTCGTTCGTAGATAGCAGTCAATCTCCTTTATTGACTGAACATGATGTCACATACACAGAGCTTTGTGTATGTGACATCATATTCAGTCAATAAAAGGAGACTGACTGCTATCTACAGAGTGCGAGTGACTTTATGGTATTTTCCCTTAGGGGGAAGCCCCCCACCTAGTAGTAGGTCGGCTTCGTCTGACCTAGAGGAATGGGTCCGTCTGGCTTCGGCTAGGTGGACAAGAGTGCTCTGCCCCTGTCAGGAACCTTGCACCCAAGAGGGTCAGGGAAAGGGCCCTATCTCTGCGAAAGATGGACCATTTTACACCCTAGTGCAGTTATTTGCACTGTTTAATTCAATATGGTGTTTAGTTTTTCCTCACCCATCGTGGGCTTCAAAAAAAAAAGACAGTTAGGAGGGAAATTCTCTCAGTTTGTTTGGATTTACTGTCACTGTTTTATACAAGACAGGAAGTGAGGGAAAGCTTCCCAATCGGACACAGAGTAGTTTAAATTTTTACTTTATTTGCCTAAAACAGAGTTAGTCCTTGCTATGGGGCCCAATGACACGGGTCCAATGCAGTTCAGGCCCCTTGAGCATCATTAGGGCACTGCCATCGATGCCACTCTTATGCCGCAATGATATTGGCTCTATAAACTATACAGGATGTAGTAGATGGACTGCCTTTAAAGTAAACCTGTCACAAACTCAGGCAATTCAAACTGAGTGTATACATAAAGTGAATCTTCAGTTATTTATTTCGTTTTTAGCCCCCCGCCCCTCCTTTTCCTGTGTCAAAAGTTCTGTTCACCTTGTCCAGAATCCAGCACTGTCCCAGCTCCCTCCTCAGTCCAGTTCCAGCAGAACTTTTCTTGCAGAACCGCAGTCATGTCATTCTGCCCACTTCCTGTGCACCAAGCCTGTCATATACACCCCCCCCCCCCCCAAGGGGTGCATCGTCATGTAGGCTGGGCTCACATTACTCCAAGACTGAGAGGTGCTCACATGTTATTACATGACCGCCACCCAGTCCAGAAAGAATGCCCACCACCGCGGATAAAGAAGAGGATGCTGAACCCTGTCTCCTCCAACCTACCTCCCTATTGGTTCTTAAATGAGATGAGTGGCTTCACTGACCAATAGGGGGGGGGCAGGGGTGTAGAAGAGTGATCTACTGATACATTTTCATATGTGATTTGCTAGCAACTGAAATCCCATACTGAAAGCAACATATACTCAGACATTGTTTCATCCTATGTTCGCTCAGAGTGCCTGAGCCACAAATGCCATTCACACACAACAGCGGCTGACATAGAATCTCTTACCTTGGGCAAAGCAACAGGTTCACATAAATATTTATCACCTCCGCTACTTATATTTTACTTACCTTCACTTCCCAGCAGCTCTGTTACCCTAGGAAAGAGAAAAGGACACAATTGGCACTTTCAGGTATGCGGGAGCATGTAACTCATGCCCTCTTCCTCCCATGTGAAAGCACTGGAGCTTGGCGACTGGTCATTCAGCCCTGGTACACAGGAACAAGGAAAGAGTCGGAAGCTGCTGCATTCCCTGTGTAAGCTCTAGTATCGTCTTGGAGCATACAGAGGGAATGTAGCGGCAGTTGGACGAAGGCAAGGTATATATAGGCCGCTACACGCTCTGGCATTAAAGTGAACCTGCTGTTTGCCACACATTGCTAAGAACCGGTGCCATAAGAAACATTGTTTTTTTTGTTGTTGTTTGCATAACCGAGTCACAAAAGGCATCTTAAGGTTTATTGCGTAACATAGTTCATGTCCATTGAAGGTTGTGCCAGGTCTCTGCAAAGTCTCCAAAGCTATATAGGCAATTTCTGGCTGAGGGGGATATTGAGTACCACATCTTCATTGGGAGAGCAGCTGAAAAGAGGAAAGAGCCTATTACTTTATCTGACATGTCAGCATGAGTGTCAGCAGTGCAAGAGCAACTGGAAAAGTAATGCTGAATACATTAACGAGGTCCATCAGTAAGCATGCATAGTCACGGTAATTTACACTGACTGGGCATAAGCTACATAACATGATGGAGATATAGATCTATATATATATGACAATAAATATAATAACAAGTATGAGCTCACCTAGGTTTGCCGAGAAGAAGGTCTCTGCCAAGTCTCTCTCTCTTCTCCTTCAGAGACTTACACAGAGACTCTCTCGTTTCCTGCAGATGTAACACCTCGTCTATCAGCCTGGACACCATCTGTGGAAATAGATTTTAGAACCTAAAGTACACCTCTGATCCAAAACTGAAATGACATACTGTATATCATATAGAATTCATTGCTAAAGATATCTATTACAGTGCTGAGGTTTTCAGGTTCTGTTTATTGAATAAAAGTGCCTATCCACCCTGCCGGCCAAGTTCATAAAAGCTTCTTCCTGTATGAAGTGGCTACTCTCTTCTAGCTTGCCTGAATTATTAACCAGTGTAGTCACCCCATAAAAGCTTACTTCTTCCCCGCATAAACTGCAACTAAACATGCCGACGTTGCCAGTGCCACACATCACCACTCTTTGTCCCGCTCTCCTCCGTGTGACCCCGGCCACAGCAGCAGTCAAGCTGTAGCTCCATCTCTTCACCGCATAGCCTGAGAAAGTAAGAGGCATATGGCCCTCCTTACCATCTTGTCTTGAATTGTATTGTGATTGTAATGTCTTCCCTATATTGTAAAGCGCTGCGCAAACTGTTGGCGCTATATAAATCCTGTATAATAATAATAATATCCCATTACCACAATACATGTTGGGATATGTAGTTTCATACCTCCAAGTAATGTTTAGAATGAGATGATGTAGCAGTAACGCTTATGCCTGCTTCTGTAGGGCAGAAGTGAGAGCAAAGCAGAGAACTGCCCCAGGGGTTGCGCCAGCATTTCTCAACCTTTTTTTCCAGTCATGACACCCTTTAAAGTCTCGAGGCACCCCAGCCTAAAATGTAAAACTGCTAAAATGTTCATGTGGCCCCTTCAAAATCCATATGAGGCCCTTATCCCAGATAGAGGTCTGCATTGGAATAGGGAACTCTACACGGAAAAAAAGAAAAAACACAATAAAAGGAATTCCAACCTTCATGACACAGAAAAAGAGATAAACCCTTTCACATCAGAATTCTGCCTTTCACATCACAGTCCCCTTTACATCAGGAGCCCCCTCCTTTCACATCAGAGTCCCCCCTTTCCCACTAGGAGACTCCCTTCACATAAGAGCCCCCTCCTTTCAACTCAAAGTTCCCCCCTTCACAATAAAAGCCTGCCTATACCAAGGAAAGAAATGACTCTGAAAATTTCAAGGCACCCCAACGCGACACCCTGATTGAGAAAGGCTGCTGTAAGCTATAAACTCTATTGACCAACTTGCATGTCTCATACGATTTGAAATAAAAGAAAAGTTGTGGTTATGACTTTAAATATGCTTTAAATTAGATGTAAAGCCTTTTATTGCATCATGTATGAAACCCTTCTCCCCAGCTCTCAGCTGTATCCATCGGCCGCTGGGTGCTGTGTCCCAAACGGGGTCCATCTTCTCCCCAAAATGCTCAAACAGTACAAGTATCGGTCCTACAACTGCATTTCCCATGTTCCAGCTTTATTGTTCACATCTCCTGGCACATGCCAGTCATATATCTAAGCATGGAACAGTTATTGGCTAACGCAAAGCTTTTTGTTTTATATGTCAGGAGCTATGAAACACAATCCAGTTTGACATGTGCCACTGACCTGCTGATAGGCCTGAATGTCTTGCTTCATCTCCCGGTTCTGCAGACACATTCGTCTCAGTGACAGAGGCAGACGCTCTATGTGTTGCTGTTGGAAAAAGCTAAAGTTGAACTCCGGGTAGATATAAATGACACACGTT